GGTCGGATTGTTACAATTATTCATCTATTTCTTTCTATAAAGTACTTTACCTAAATAAGATACCTTGGGAAACTTGACACTCTCGTGCTCCAATGTAAAAAAGGGCAGCCTAATGTAGAAGGCATCCCGTGTTTACGCAGGGTTTGAGGAAGGACCGCAGTTCAAGGAGTGTAATGTAAATAACTTACCCTTCTTCGAGGTGTAGATTATACAGAGACAACTTTACCGTTACTCCAATATTTCCTTCTCCCACACTCCAATGTGTCATTCAATATGTGCTGATTCATACGCGAATTTTTAGCTTAATCTGGCTGATTATTTTATCATCTTATGGAGAACACACATTTGGTAACATAACTATTTTTCATTAAAATGTATCTTATAAAGATATCCTAATTAGATTTGCAGTTACCTTCACTTAAAATATTCCTAAATAAGTAGATGACCAAATTCTTTTTGGTAATAAGATTATGAAAATAAATTATTTTCTCTTCATATTTTCCTGTTATCCAAAACAGAAGAGTCTAAAAAGGGAAAAACACAAAAGATATTGTGAATATTCAAATTAAAAGGCTCGAAAAAGTTACAAATTTCGGCATATTTCTCCTTTATATACCATCAAAAAACCTTGAGAGGAAGCAAACGAATTTCATATTATTCAAAAGCACCATCCTTAATTATTTTCTCAACATGGTTCATTTTTTAGTGAAGATCCTCTTTTTGTTACTATTATTTATCATGATCCACAACATTCAAGGATGTACGTTCCCTTTACTTCGACAACACCAGGTGCACGTTCTCAATAATCTTCCTGTCAATTCCCCTAAACTAGAACTTCACTGTGCATCTGGAGACGATGACTTAGGGTATAAGTACCCTGCTGTTGGAACAGATTTCAATTGGGAATTTTGTGCGACCAAACGTACATTATTCTTTTGTCATTTTTGGTGGGATGGAAAAGATCAAGCATTTGATGTATTTAACGATTTGTATTATTGCATTCATGATGGAAAAGGTTTTGTTCTAGAGTATACTACCAAATGCCAATGGAAAGTGCAGTCTGATGGTTTTTATTTGGGTTATTATGATGAAGATGTTGGTACGATTGTTTACACAAAATACCGTGATTGGTGAGCTTATATTTTTTCTTGCTTGTGAAATTAAGTAAATTAGAAGGA